TATACCTTCACTAACAATACATATTTTACATATATATTTAAGCCACATATACTATATACTGTATGTATAAAAGTCTCTCTTTTAAATCAATTTCAACATCTTTATAACATTAAGGCTATATTATTTTGTCTCCTAAAAGTCAAAGACTTTCGGGATGAGTCATGAAGCAAAATCGAACTACAGTAATACCTCGGTTTGCGGGCATAATTCGTTCCGGAAACAAACTACATGTATTGCAAGACATCGCTCGTTTACCAAGTTAAAATGTATTATGAAGTTGGTGCAAAAGTAATTGCAGTTGTTGCCATTACGAGTAATGGCCAAACCGCTATTACTTTTGCACCAACTTAATAGAAATGTTTGCTCACCTTGCAGAACACTTGCAAACCAAGTTACTCGCAATCCAAGGTTTTACTGTATATCCTATTTTAAAAACCTTGAAAACAAAATTATATTCTACTCTTAAAATCCTTTCCTTATTAAAATATGACTTAGCATAAAAATGCAGCTTTTAGGTAAATCATTACCAAGCAGCATTTCTCCGTCTGTGCCTGCCACACATCAGTCTTGCAGGTGTTCAACATGATGCTTTGTGGTTAAAGAAGTTTGGAAAATGCCCCCACTTAGAGATTCACAATATACTCTGGCATATTAATGGCTCTCAAGAGTCCTGCAATAAAGATGTTTAATTTTGTCTGGTTCAGCATTCTCCAAAATAACATGACCAATGGAAAGCAAACACTGGTATCTTGCCTGTTATCATGACATATTCTCTTCATGTACCTCAGAAAAAAACTTTGGAATCTGAGAAAGACCACCAGAAAACTGGGGAGCCACTCTTTTTTGGTCTAACACCAATCCCCAAAATAAGTAAAGCGTTAACCTCTCTTCTGTATGCTGACGCTCTAAATAAAACAACTGTCTCTCTTCATTGTGCAAGGCTGATATCTATAGCTACTTAAATAGCCCTTGCAGGGTAGATAATCATGTGAGAAAACTGCTGTTTTTCCATCAATGAGACTAAGAAACAGGCTAATTGTAATTTTTAATGTGCTTTTTTCCTTTATATAACTGCTGAATCCTTTATTTAGGGTGTCCAGTTCTTCAGAAGACTGGATTCCCTTGCAAACAATGTAAAATTTATTTTCTTTTTTAATGTTTCTCCGGATTTATTTAGGTATAATTAACAAATATAAATTGTATATATTTAGGTTGTACAATGTGATGTTTGGATATACAAATACCTTGAAAATATTACCACAATCAAAGAATATCCTCTTAAACATCTTGAAAATATTAGCCGACAAGGAAAATTATTTACAGAAAAAAACCCCCACTTTTTCATTTCAAAGAGGTATCTAGAAAGTTAAAATATAGAAATAAACTATAATCATTTCTATAAAATCTAAAGATACATTACTTACTGTTGTGTGATGTACAACACATTCACCAGGGTATCGTCATTCATGAATTCCATTTTACTTGTAGTTAAATTATAAAGAGTAAGAAACTGGGGATGGTCTCTGATACATTCAACACTTTTTAACAAGCTGGTCTTCTGCTTTTGAAACTGCCAAAGTATATTAAATGCACATCCCACTTGCTTTTCTGAAAGCACGGCTTTGTTTTTTTCAATAAAATCAAATACTTGTTCTTCGTCTGTACACTTATCCATCTGGCTAATTAATGGTTCACAACTGAAGGGCCGAAAATGGAACAGTCTCCAAGGAAATGGACAAATAGCTCTTAAGCGAAGCATAGTTGCTAACAGTGTCTAGAAAAACGGCATATTTTCATTTACATCACAAATGTTCTTGGGTAAAGAAAATTGAAAACTATTGGCCAGGTGCCATATGCTGGTATAAAAATAACTGTTTTTCCTTCATATTTTTTGCTTCCATTATGATGACTCCAAATCCCATTCCAATTAGCAGCTTCTGTAAAGAATTGGTTTAACATCGTTATATTTTATTATCAAATTAATTCTAACATTCAAATAAAGTAACAAGTTTTTCTGCATTAACTAGCAATGTTGGTCTTAGTCTGAACCAGATAGATCTGATCCAAAACTAAACATCCAAGAAAAGTGGCTTCTTTCTGCACCCCACTTAAAAAATGATTGTTAGGGAACACAGTCAATAATATCACAGTAACTTTGAACCGTGACAGATGGGTACTAAACTTATCAAGGTGATCACTTCGTAAGGTATAAATGTCAAACACTACGTTTTACACCTGAAAGTAATATAATATTGTATGTCAACTATAATTTTTAAATTGACTTTTTTAAATGCTTGTTACATCTGACATTTACATAAAGTTTTCAAATTTCACCATAAAAGCAGAAGGGAAAAAAAATCCCAAATTCAGAACTGTCTTTTAAAGTAAAAGAGTAAAGCTGTTTGCAATAAATAAATATTAACACCTTCAGAGTTTCTACAAAGAGTAGCCATTAATTCAGAGCCATAATAAAAAAAAATTTTTTTAACGAAATGGTCAGTCTCTGGTATATTTGCTTTCTGGATAATTTCTTGCTCCTTTCTCTTGATGCTTCAAAATAACTCAAACAATTTAGTTACTACTGACTTTAGATAGGTTTCAACCAATAAGCAAGATGACTAAAGGTCCAATCAGAAAATATAAAGAAATCAAGTAATGTAACAAGACATTGTGAGGCAATATATGAATCAAATTATGAAAAATAATTTGTTTAAAAACATATATTATAAATGTTTATATTTCTAGTTGAGAAACAATGGTTTAAAAAGATGGGACTAGGGGCCACCCGTTAGCTCAGTTGGTTAACAACGTTTCCGATTTGATTCCCACATGGGATGGTGGGCTGCGCCCGCAACCCCCCCGCCAAACCCCCAACTAAATTGAAAACGGCAAATGGCCTTGGAGCTGAGCGCCCTCCACAACTACAATAGAACGAAAACAACTACTGGATTTGACGGAGATGTACCCTCCACAACTATATTGGAATAACTTTTGACTTGGAGCTGAAGGGTCCTGGAAAAACACACTATTCCCCTTCCTAATTAGATGGGACTAAAATCATATCTAATACTTCTGCAACGTTTTACGAAAAACTTTTAAAATATATCATCCCATTAAATTCTCTGAACTAATCTGCCAGGTTGATATTATCCTTTCCATTTTACATATAACAAAAAGCTAGGTTCAAAAAGATTTAAAAATNTAACACAGTTGTACTATATTTTTGTCTCTGTGTGTGAAAGACAAATGTAAAATAAATAGACATATAAAATGTCTATTATCTATTGTAGTATATTATTCACACTGAACTTTGCAACATTATAGTTTGTCTCTTTAAGTTTTCTAAAGGATTTAAGAATTTAGGAAGTGCCTGTATACTGTTTATCATGTTTCTACCAGCATTGGTTTGTGACTACTGACAGAGACTAAGAGAAGGGACGCTATGTGGAAGAGCATAGTTGTCTTTCCTGACACCTCAGAATGTCAACTTGTTTGTACTTAGCTCATTAGCAATCTGGCATTCATAAATGTATTTAATTATTTTTGAAGCAATCCATTTTTATTTTTCATTTGTTCTCTGTGAACTACATTAGAGGTAGGGTAAAGAGGCTGGTTTGAATGTTAGTTAGATTGCCTTTAAAAGTAATCTTCAAGATCTGCTATAATTTTAGTTAATTTAATATGATTGCACTTAGAGGTGGAAGTCTTGTATGAGAATTATCACCTGTTTTATTAAACTTAAGCAGATGAAAACTTCTCATCTTTGTTTCTTGGTCCCTCTTACAGTGGATTCTGTTTTTAAAAAGAGAAAGAAAAGGAAGTAAGTAAAGAAACACTTTGTTAATAATAGAACTCAGTAGGCAGGTCTAGGAAAAAGGCTGTTTCAGTTGTGAAATAGGCTGAAAGGATGGTTACTGGTGGGCTCAGAGAATTTACTGACTACAGACATATATTAGCAGTACCCCATGTGAGAAGCAGTACTTACAGGAGGAAAGGCACCAAGTTTTAATAGCAGTCTAGTTCTGCTCATGCCTTCATAAGCATTCATTCTATTTGATAATGTAGTCCTGGGCCAGGCACTGCTTGGTGTTGAAGATACAGAGGCTCTGAGTTCAAGGAGTTTACAGATTAGTTTATGATAAAATAAGATTCAACAAAGGAGAATTATTTAAGCTTCAGAGTCAGGGCTAAATTCCCAAAGTGTACCCTGGCTATGTTGAATCTTTAAGGACACATAGGAATTAGCCACGGGAATGAGAAAGGATAAAGTTCTGCTGATCATCTTAATGGTTTAAAGGATTTATTATCTACTTTTTCGAGATTCAATACTATGCTGACTCCCTCATACTGTGTGAAGCTTCCAAATAATTCTTTGAATGTAATAAAATCACTGCATTATTTCTTGCCTAATTACAAATACCTTGTCCTTTACCATATATTTTAGTTAGTTGCTTATATACTTGTCCCCTCAACCTTCTTGTTCCTTTCGGGTGAATATGGAAATTATTTTATGTATGAACCAATAAGAGTAAACTTTTTACATATAAATTTGTTACCTCTAATATTTCTCATGGAATATATTTGTTGCAGAACTTTATACATCCTAGCATTTAATATTTAAAAATTTATGACATCTACTATTGACATACAAAAATAACTGATATTGTTGATAAACATTTATAACAACATATTGTGATTTTGTCTGCTTAGAAAAAAGGAGAAGAATATACATAAAAATATTAAAAGTTATATCTAAGTGTCAGGATTTTATGCATTTTTGTGTAATCTAACTTTGCAGTGAGCTTATTAACTTTATTTTATTTAAAAGTATTTTCATTATGAATAAAGTAGATGAAATGAAGTATTACCACATACTCAGTTCTGAAGGGGTGGAGCAGGTAAGGTGAGTGCATGAGGTCAAGTAGATAAATAGTAACAGCTAATAGGCAATAATGGAAACTAGGTCAAACTGGAATATATACACCTCATGTAATGGGGGCAGCTACACCTCATGTAATGGGGGCAGCTATGCTGATTTCTGTATGGGAATGAGACACATTGTAATACATGGTGATTTATTTTTTCAAGAAAAATTTATATCGGGGTTTTATAGAAATAGCTGCTACTCATTCAGATTAAGCAAATTTGCAGCAAATGGATCACCTGTATAGATTACTGACTACTATGAGAGCTTTCATTATGTATGATTCTTGGGAAATACATGAATTATTTTACTGAAAATTGCAAAGGCTTGATCCCCCCCCCCCCCCGAACTGTACTTTTGGTATCTCTCTGCAGTTCTCTACTTTTTCTTGGGGGGAAAAATGAATAATTGACCAGATGTTTGTCTTGTGGTTGATTTCAGACATTATTTGAGTAATACCAGAATATCATAATTATAGAGGAGACACTGTCCTATTTCTGATTAGATGAAGTCTGATTTGAGTAACGTTAAAGACATGGTGTTGAGCCATCTTATGTGTCATTATTTTTATTTTATTTTTTTTGGTGTTTGTTAGTTTGTTTGTTTTATTGGGGAACACCATGTTTTTCTGGGATCCATCAGCTCCAAGTCAAGTAGTTGTTTCAATCTAGTTGTGGAGGGNTAGAAGGCAGAAGGCAAAAATATTTGCAAATAATATATCTAATAAGGGGTTAATATCTAGAATATATAAAGAACTTCTACAACTAATAACAAAATTATTTTTAATGAGAAAAGAGCTTGAATAGCCCTTTCTCCAAAGCTATAGGCACATAAAAAAATGCTCAACATCACTATTAAAGAAATTAAAATCAAAATTACATGACACCTCTTCACACCCAATAGGATGGCTATTATCAAAAAGTCAGAAAATAACAAATGTTGGTAAGGATATGGAGAAATCAGAACTCTTGTATATAGCTGGTTGGAATGTAAAATACTGCAGCTACTGTGTAAAACAGTATAGTGGCGCCTCAAAAAATTAAACACAGAATTATCATGTAATCTAGCAACTCTATTTCTGGGAATATACACAAACAAAATGAAAGCAGCAACTTGAACAGACATTTGTACAGCAATGTTCACAGCAGCATTATTTACAATAGCTAAAAGGTGGAAGCAATCTAAGTGTCCAACAATACATGAATCGATAAAAGAAAATGTCATATATACATACAATTATATTCAACCTTAAAGAGGAAGGAAATTCTGACACTGGCTACAACATGGATGAACCTTGAAAACACTATGCTAAGTGAAATAAGCCAGACACACAAAAAAAGCCAATTTGTATGATTCCACTTATATGAGGTACCTACAGTAGTCAAATTCATAGAAACAGAAAGTAGAATAGTGGTTGCCAGGTGTTGGAAGAAAAGAGAAATGTGATTTCTCAATTACATCACATTCCAATATGGTTATCCCTGGTGAGTGGAGGATTTTTCTCCCCACGGTCAGGGATCTAGGCTTCTTCCATAATCCACTAGGGGCTTAAAACCCTCTGGATCCAGCTGACAAAAACAGGGAGAGGACATGGAGAAGGCATAGCACTTCATAAACATACTGGCTGGATGTAATACACATCTTTTTCACATACTTTCCACTGATAAGAAGTATTGACATAGCCTTACTTAGATGCAATGGGACAGCTAGAAAATGTAGTTCTTAGGACAGACATTTCCGAGTGATACCCTTTACCATATAAGTGGGAGCACAAATTTGGGGGCTGTCACTGCAATGTTAATCAAAGACTCTGGCATTTTATAATTGGAGCTGGCAGAGATTCAGATTATTCATATGTGAGGTAACCTCTTGAAGAAGTCAGTCTAAAGAATGAAGCC